ATCTTTGTGTCCTGCATGTTCAGCATGAAGTCAGAGGAGCTGCCGGTGCCCTCGATGACCCCTCTGATGAAGGTGTTATTAATCTACGGCTGTGGAGAGAAAGGCTAGATGAAGGTCTCCCGGGTAGGTACAGACTGAGTGCATGCAGAAACCATATAAATTTGTGTTTGTAGCAGGCATTTAAAAACTATTAACTTTGTAGTATTCTTGCATTGGCTTGTTCACCTCATGTATACACCCGGAAGCTGCTGCATGAATGTCATGTTTTTCTCTTGAATGTCGTGCGGTGTTGAAACACGGAGAGGGCTGAGACAGAGAAAACTAAATTTCGTGTGGATTGTGCATGCATATAACAGGAGAATATTTTGCTGTGAAAGAGCAGAAGTTGTTCGGCTGGGATACCCACACTGTAGATGGGGAGTCACTCAGGCCGATGACACCCGATGAGAGAAGGGCTGAGCATCATATGGACTGGCACTTGTGCTGGAAGGGCGGAAAGGTATGTGATTTTAAAGAGAAGTTTGTTTCCACTCAGCAGCAGCAGCAGCAGCAGCAACAGCAGCAGGAACAGCCGCAGCAACAGCAGCAGCATCAACAGCAGCAGCAGCGCAATTAGGCAGAGTGTCAGTATGGCTTTTTCAGGTTCAACAAGTGCCCACAACTGACGCGATGAGGGCTTTCTATGACAACCGGAAAGCTGTAAGCGAAGTGATTCACAGGTGCGTTTTGTTTGTTTCCAATCCCTCTTAATTATACCATACAAAAACATATGAGTGCTCATACAAAAAATTCCACTTTATAGTGCATGCACAGTGCCCGCTGACTTGAACGAGCTGCACTTTCTTGCATTTCTTAGAAAGGGAAGGAAAGCATCCAGTATATGTTTCTGCTGCGGCAAAACTACGCCAGCAACGGCTGGATGCTGGCGTAATGTTTTCGCAGCAGAAACATATGAAGGATGAATTTGTTATTTCTGAATCTTCGTAAGTTCAATAGAGAATGTGGCTCGGGTTGTTGCAGGAACTTTGAGGCTTTCAAGGATCTGACTATACACCGCGAACGGGTTAGTTACTGGCCCGTATTTCAGATACATTTCTATAGGATTTAAAAAATTAAGAAATAAAGTAATTATAACATTGAATATGTAGTGCATGTTGTGTGTAACTTCAGCTGGGGAAACTCGTACCCGAGCTCTGGAACCGGTGGGATTATGACCTCATTGCAAAGAAATGTCAGGAGAAACATGGCATTAACATCTATGATCCAAAGGTATGTTTTCGATATATATATATATATATATATATATATATATATATATATATATATATATATATATATATATATATA